AAGAAACTATAAACACTGATCAATAATTCAGTATCAACATAAACTTCTATCATGTGTCTCAGGTTCATTATGAATTGTATCCCACCCCGTCGTCAAAAGTATTTACCTGGCAAAATGACAAAATGAAGATTTTTAAAAACCCATACAAACCTTAGAAATTTCAATTAAAATGTTTTTGTCAGCACAAATATTTCTAACTTGGAAAAATAAAGTCAACAGGGAGTGTTATGAAAAACAATATTATTTGATGGAGTAAGAATCATAAGGTACATGTCTGATATTGATACTCATCGAGGTAAAAATAAATGTAGATACATCTATACTTTATACAAAGTTATAAAGATACCAACTGCTATAACTGGTAAAATTTAAATAAAGCAATAAAACTAGATAGAACAAATTCTCTGAATCATGAAAAAAAAATGCAAGTAGAATATAGACATTATTTTATATTCTTATTTGTAACACATTCCAAAATAAAGCATTCTGAATAAAAATGGCTTATAATCTTTGGAAAACTTCAAAATTAAGCAGAATTTAAAATTTAAGTATTTCAATTACATGAAAATACATTTCAATTACAAAATTTATATTTTTTCAAAACCACATCCTTGTTGAGTGCAATCAGAAGTAATATATGAAAATTGTTGTTGCAAATACAATAGAAATAATTCTTTAATAAAAGTTTAGACATATGTAAAACATAAAAACTTAATAAATTATTTTTTTTTTAATCTGAAAAATTTCTTAGTTTAACATATTAGTTTGTTTTTCATGACTTGAATCTGCATGCTTGTGTACATTGCTCCGTCTTCAATAATAATAATAATAATAATAATGTCTATTTTACTTGCTCTTAAAAAGAGCCAAATGACACATAATTAGGAATTTTAAAAATTAAAAAGTAATTTGTTTCCATTCAGATGGCATTATTTTTGAATGTGTGGCATGTAATAAAACAAAACCCAGATAAAGTTCAGTTGGTGGCTTGCACGTTTTGTACAGAATAGTTGTATAGTACTTAAGTATCAACGTTTAATTTTACCTGCATGAGCATCCACATCACAGTGATGCAACTTACAATGTTCACTAGGCTGCTCCATCTACATTTTTAAAATTAACATTTCTTCAACACTGAACTTGCTATTGATGATTTCATTTTTCTAAATTAAAATATAATTGCACCCAAAAAATAATGTCTGGTTTGGTTTGAAATTTGTAAAGTTTAAAGAGATTAAATAATCCTCAGCTAGATTTTAAATGTGCCAGGTAAATACTTTTGAAGACAGACTATACTAAGAATTTACTGCAAAGGAACTTTAGGGATATGCTCACAACTCTGATGAAATAATAATTAAGTAGCATGTATAAGTAAATAATACAACCATTAGCACAGCCCCAATGAGTGAGTTGGGTCCCATAAACTTGGAAAGATGGAGAGAGCACTGCTGTGTTATTCCTTATCTGCCATAATTACTCATCAATAAAACCGGGTGATGTTAATGTAGTTCTCAACTTAATTGATCATCCCAAAATAGTTCCAAGTCTTTTTGGTCCTTGCAACCTTCATCAGCAGTAATTTGTCTTCAAAACAAAATGGTTCTTCTCCTTCCATACACTAGTCTGGGCAATCCCTGTGAATGATGTTCATTAAATTACCTTTCCATATCTGCTGAAAAACTCTTTCAGGTAGTCTTCATCGACATTTCCAGGAAGACCACCAATGAAGACTTTCTTGTCTTTGTATGGATCTACACGCTCTCCTCTTGGTCCCTGCAACAACAATGATAATAGAAGCACTATCCCCAAGTTTAACTCTGGGTTCATGAACATTTTCAAGCACTAGTCTCTAGGGATGCAAAAGTTTTGCCATTGAACCAGTAATGTTCCTAATTTCAATAGTATTGTAGCTAGCAAAATGTTTCATTCGCCTGATACTATTGCACTTTTTACCCTTTCCACAACGTGGAGTCCCCAATTTAACTATTCCCTCCTCTACTTGGTAACTGGAGGTGCAAAACTGAAAAGAACATGACTTCAGTCTTATTTCTTATTCCCTGCCAACAGAATATCTTTCTCCTTTGACTGACTTGGAATGAGGCTAATAACCTCGTGGTGGAGACAAATAATGTAAATAATGTATCTTCCTTTCAATTTATAGGAATTCTTTCATTTTTGCAATATAGTTTAGTACATACATAAAAACCACATAGTTTTCAACAGTGTTATTTCTTCACATTTATCTGTAAGATACATTATTACTATTAACCTGGTTCTGCAGCTGATCAACATTCTGAAAAGGAGCAAAATCCAGATTATGCACCAAAACACAAACAGAAACTATACTGAAACAATATTTATAATCAGCACCCACTTCAAGTAGTCTATATGTGTAACTTATGAATAATCATGATCTGGAATTCTACAATGATTGTGGTCATGTGCTCTGAATGTTAGATAACATTACTTTCATATTCTTTTAAAGTCTGTGAGCCAAACAGAAAGCAACAATGGTTGCATCCCTTGATCCCTAGTGTGTGAACACAAGGGGTAGCAAACAATATAGATTCTTAACATTGGTGAAAATATAGGATATCAAAGCATGGTGGTAGTCTGGAATCTTTGCAAAACAATTCAGTATTACATCATTAAAATTAGTTTAGTTTAGTCCCTAAATTACAGTTTACATTTATATAACAGTAAAACTTTCTGTGATCTATATCAAGAACTAGCTAGGAGTAAAGCAGGAAACTTTAACAGCCTTAAGTTGTTGCTAATATATATAATGAGTTGTTGCTAATACATATAATGATTAAACATTTAGTCATCTATGGTCAGATAATTACCCCTGAAAATATGTAGATTTCAAGCTTCAACATTATTTCCCTTTGTTGTATTTTAATTATGAAAACTAAAACTTCATGACTGTTCTATTTTGTTTCAAGCAATACCTCCAGTATCATTAAAATATGCCATAGCTTCAAAATAAACAAATGATGGGTGTGAGGTTATTACCGGGACTCGTCCAAAATGCCAACCACTGATTATTACCTGGACTCGTCCAAAATGCCAACCACTGAACACTTGTTTTTGGCTTTATATTATAGACACCAGTCCCTCACACTGCACTGATTATGTTGTAGTGTGTCAGTGCATGAGAACTTAGAATAAAGTAAATGAAGACTGGGCTTAAAGTATTAAAAAAAAAAATTAACCCACTGTTATCATCTATAAAAACTTATATGGGGATCTGATTAAATAAAACTCACCATTCAACTTAACCAGAAATGCAAATCAATTAGATGTTCTGTATTTTTGAGGTAGTATACCATTTTATTGTCAGTTTATAATTAATTTGTAAAAACAGTAGAGTGGAATGAAATTCTGCAGGATAATTTTCTGAAACAAAAATTAAAAATTAAGTTTTACATTGACCGATAACTGTCAAAAGATTTTACAGCAACAATAGCCCATTTTATACCGGATTTAACCGAGTTGCTCCATAATTATCCGAAAAACCTCTCGAGTCACTTTATACTCCAGCTAATCAAATGCTGGTAGGCATCTGTACATAACAAAATGGCATATTGTTGTTTAGACGTATCAGATTAAATCAAATTAAGAAATGCCCATTAAATGCCTGGGACTTCTGCAGCTTTACCATCAAAAAATATTCCAGGTTTGTTATACTGCGGATTAATACGAAAAAATTCCTTTTATTAGTAAACGAAACTAGATTTATGAAATGCGGTGTCATGGTAAAAAAAAAAAAGGAATTAAATTTTTAACATCGACACCATTTCCATACTTGCATGTACATGTCCAGATGTAAAACAGCTCATAGCTACTCTCGTATGGCTATAAAATCCAGAAAACAAGACAGGATGGTTCCAATATTAAATTTCAGCAATATATGTGGTATCATTGCTGTTGAATAGGCATTTTTCAACTTATAAACGAAGCTGAAGTAGTTGGAACAATTGATGCTAATGCTGAATTGTCCGCCTTGTTTTGACCACTAGTCTGGTCCCCTGCTAAGTATGCTCCCTGCGATGCACTCCACTATACTATACTAGAGAGCATACTAAGCAGGGGACAAGACTATTTGCCTACCAGCTATCGATTGGATATTACAGTCAGTTGACCACCCGCCACATGATCAAAATTCCGAGCAAATTACGAAGTTCGCCGAAGTCTCCATGAAATGGTCTATAGGATCAACAATAGGAATCAAAAGTTTTTTTTTGAAAATCAAGTGCTTAGTTCAAACAACATCTTAAGTTGTCATGGTAAAGAGCATACATTAAAGCAAGGAGGTAGGTAAAGAATCAATATTATATAGGCAAATGAAAATAATGCATCAAAATATAAATACAGAACTATATCAATATTTGCAAGTACACACATGTACCAATACATTACAGACCAAACAAACTAATAATTACAAATGTACATAAATGTTTTCAGATGACATCAGAATTGCCATTGGCTACCAAAAATCTTATATAAAATTGCCTTTTGTGTGTTCTCACACATTGCCAATTGTTACCAACATGTAATCAAATGATTGTTAGTTTATAATTCTTTATTTTATTTTTATTTCATTTTATTTTATTATGATTATTTTCATGAGATTTCTTTAAAAAGAAGTGCAGTCTTTTGTCTTGACCCTATCAGAATGCAAAATATAACTTTATCACTATTTTTAGCTCACCTTGGGTGAGACATTTTGTAAACACTAAACGAAAATGATTAGTTATTACCAAGGTCATGTTCACCCCATGTGTTAGCCAAGTTGTAAACATCCTTTCTAAGTTGTAAATAGAGACAATTTTTCAGTCATATTGCTACAATGTCTGCGGTGTGGCAGTTTATGGTGATGTCTAGCACTGGGGCATCATGCCGCAGACATGTAGCATGATGTTCCACCCAACACTAATCTCTTAATGCCGAGTGTCAAGCGAGGCAGCTTTTAGTACCATTTTTGTAAGTCTTTTGTATGACTAGACCGAGGATCGAACCCACGACCTCCCGCATCAGAGGTGGGTACTCAAACCACTAGACCACCTAAGTTGTAATTAACGCGAGACTCTGGTTCTTAGATATAGATATTTTTGATAACATGCTAAATGGCATTTTTTAATGCGCTGTACAAATTATTAATAACAAAGCCCCATCATGTAAGCCATCCTTTGATCTAACATTGTGGGTTAAAACAGGTTTTTTTCAGTCATATTTTTATATCGTTAGAACTCGAGGTGTTTAGATGTTGATGCCAGTTTTTTTTGAAGTGCATCTTTTTTTTGATTTAATTTATTCTTTGGCAAACCACACAAACGCTTTTCTTTATAAAAATTTCTGAGACAGATATTTAGTGGAAATTTATTCTGGAATTCTAAATAGGAACATAAATTGTGATTCAATAAGGAACTGTTTCCATCAATACAATGATATTCCATGCAACAAACACCAGCAGCATTATTGTAATGATATTAAAAAAACAAAACAATTATCAATCATGAAGTCTCTCTATGGCTCCTGCTTCTGTCAATTCTATCACTGCCAGTTCACAGAAATTTGTTGCCTGTGCACTGGCATTGTTGATGACACTGTATTAAAAATGACCAGTGTCAAACCTACAAATCTCTGAAATGGGTAACGGCATTAGTTATGTACCATCTTGTAACAAGTAATACAGAATTTGCTTCTTCCAAGTCAACAAAGGCCAAAAAGAGAGCGACCTTCCTTTGCCCTGGGCAATAAAATGGCAAAAATGTTGCTCCACTTTACCTATTTGTTTGAGCCCTGTTCATAACGTTTGAAGAACATTGCAACCCAATTTTTGTGTGTATGTATACCATAATTACCGTATATCTTGGAATGGGAAAAAAAATTAAAAAAAAAAAAAAGATTTTTTTCTCTTGTCCCAAAACATTCAAAAATGAGAAATTACTGCTTTCCCACAACAAAATACTGTATCTAACATGGAAATTATTCTTCAATCTCTGTTCATAATGTCATAAATACCTTTATTCTTCTTTCTTTGTCTTGTGTTTCCTCTTTGTACAAATCATTCTAAAGACACAAGGAAACAAGTAAAAGATTGACAGGAAGTGTGGGTCTTGCGCTCATCTATACAGACATCACAGTAACTCAAATGGTCATTACCATGCTTGAAAAATGACTACTCAAAAATGGTTTCTTTCAGTAAAAGGTGTTTGTGAATTGAAATGTTATTATGACATTTTCAGGTTTATTACAGCAATCATTCTGCTGGCCACAGCAGCCAATGTCTGTAATAGTTTAACAACCATTTTTATTTATGTAAGTGACTGTATTTGCCAGTGACTGTGTTTGTCCATCTGCTCCTGGATTACAATAACTAGCATGCGGTTTACAAGTCGGGAAAACCACAATAGTATACATGTTCATGGAAAATTTTACGCAGTCATCTAAAAAACCTGGATCTAATTAAGATCTGGTATATAGCATTACAAACAGAGGCATATTTTCCTTCAATTTACTCCATCAGAAACCAATAAATGTGTATACGCCTAAGGGCTTTGCAGACATTTCCAAACTACTGTTAGGATTCAGGCTATTCTCCCCCTTGCACTCTACATAACTGTATCACTTCCAAGTTGGAAAGAACAGTATCTGAATTTTGTTTTTCTCCCTGGCACTAGAAACAGTATGCTCAAAGAATTTACAATATTTTCCCCCCAACTTATTATAAATCATTATACACTAATAATATTAAACACAAGACAAAATTATCAACTAAAAGAAACACATGGCATAATTAATTCTCTGTGAAATATATCCTATTACACATATGGTCATTATTTCAGAGCACGAGTTAAATGTTGTCTTAACAAGAACTTCCCTGTAATATGGTCAATATTTTTCAAAGTTTGACCAATTTTCATTATTAACAAAATATGTATTGCTAGTCAACTTGCAGTTGAAAAATTCATAAGTTTCATCTGATGCAGAAAAGGCAACAGCAACATTATGTTAAACCAGTTTGTAAAACACTTAAATCATAAAATGACATCCAGTAAAGTTTCAGAAGCTGCAGTTTCCAATCTCAAAGAAGGCAATGGTTTCTTACTATATTTTTAAACTTTATGAAAGGTGTTTTTTTTTAGATTTCACATTACAGCGACAATCACTTCACCCACATTACAAGTTTAATTATGAAATTACCATTCCAGATTTATTTCCTAGCAAGACCAAGCATATGAAAAGTCCACTATATACTTCTGTGCCTATTGTTTAAACTTTTAAAAGTCATCGTTTGTCCTTTTTGCCTTCAATTTCTTGGCATCTGTTGGACATAAATTTTAATGCTTTAATGTACAAGAAAAATCTGCACAAAATACATGAGTAGATTAAAGTATATGTTGTATTTATGTCAAGACAGTCTGGTTTCCTGACCATCTCTGCTGAATTTAATATGAACTCGGATTTCAAGCAAACCCAGGCAAGCCAATATCTGAATCAGACTGCAACAGTCAAATTATTTTCTTTTCTGCTATAACATTTTGCAAGTCTGTAATTTGAGGATACATGTCAGCAAGAATTGTGTTTAAATTGTGAGGTTTTTTCATGAGATCTGTAATAATCAGTATATGTTCCAGCTTTTTTTTTAATAGGGGGTGACTGGATTTGTATTTTGCCACCAGATACAGAATCCGGATAGTTGGGGCAATATTTGCCGGATCCGGATGTCACTACTTACATGCAACCATCACTGCTTGCAAGCCTCAGCTAGTCTACCATATTTTAGTGCAAGGCCAGCAAGGGCCCAGAGGGTGTAATTTCTATTTAATAATTAACTTGTATTAATTTAAATTTAATTTAATACTTACTTTTAATTACCTATTTATTCCATTATTTATAAATCGATTTGTGTATTTGTTAGATGGCGAGTGTCTCCACTGTCCGATTGTATGTCAATGATACACTCATTCACACTGTTAGACAGCAAATACTCACCAGTTGCCATCTATTGAATAAACAATAATTAATAAATAGTGTAATAGATTGCACAAGTTTAGAAACAAAGTGTCAAAATAGTCACAAAGATCAATAGAAACTTCTGGTTCACAGACTATGAAAAAATATTTGAACCACGCGGCCACCTATTGATTAAAAAAAAATGTGCCAATTTGTTGGTTAAATTTGAAATTAGTTATGTTTTGCATTCCTGAGTGCTGGATTGCTGGTAAATTTCAAATTTGTATTGTCAGTTTGTATTGTTCACAAATTACGAGTCAGGCGTCAGATTCACTAAGCGGAAATCCGGATCTGGATTTTTCGGCTACAGAAAACAGGCAAATCTGGATGTTGCCGGATACTTTATTATTCGGCTGGGGCGAATGTCTGGAGCGGTTTCCGGTCACCCCCTACGTTTTTAACACACTGAATAAAAGAACTGAAAACAGAAATCTTAGGTACTGACAATCAATACAAATTCTGTTAATTATGGTGGCATCTAGAAAACTAAAGGGACTGGATATTTATATTGTTAGTAATTAGTCATGCTGATTGACCAGAAGAAAAAAATATAATCCCCCCAAAAACAAAACAATCCCCCACCTACTGATGGAAAAAGCAAACAGCTCTGTACAACAAGTTTCTTAAAACTATTGTCAGGTGTCAAGTTTTTTTTAAAAAAAACTGAACAGTCCCAATACTTGCAGTGATACAATAAAGTTATTTAATACAATTCAAGGTATCCCAACTTTTAGAGCATCCCAACATATACGGTAAATATGGAAGTACAAGTCAGTCAGGGTTCTCTTGGACCTCAATGAGAGAATATTTATGAAATGAACATTTTTGTAACAATGATAAAACAAGGAACAAATACTGTCAATTAACCTGCATATATTAAACATCAGACCACAGTATTCTTACCCTATTAGCTCCTTTTGGATTACATGCTTTTGGATCTACCTGCAAAAAAAAATGCATATTTCCATTTCAGATCAAGTTTATTTCAAGTGACAGTGCTTCCCTTGATGATTATTTGTATATCAGAGTACCCCAGTCGTAATTAACCTCCAGTTTTGACCCCCTTGGTTTGTTTTGTTTACTCAATCTGACCACTTGGTTCTGACAAGGGGATTTTTTTTTACCCTTAATTTTGCACACTAGTAGATGCAAACTCAAGTTTAAAATAAAAAAAATCTTAAAAAAAGAAAGTTATCAACATTAAGAACAGCAGATGTTTCATCAAAGACTTCTTTATACATATAAGCTAAATTTTTTTAAAGGGATATAGCTTCTTGTGCTCTTTAATGGTACACAATTTTTAAATCTTAACTCAGATAATTTCAATATGTGCAAGCCTTATGAGCATTTAAAGTAAAAACATGTAAAATGGCAATATATATTTGTCCATAAACAACAATAAAATATAAATGACTAAAAAAAATTAGAATTTAATTTTGAAATCAAGATTATTTGACACTTATGAAATATTGTACTTGCAGCAGGAAATTTCCCCTGTTCACTTCTGAGTAAAAATTTAACATTTAACAACAACACAAGCACATCATGCCCAAACACGAGGAACAATTCTCTCTGAAGAAATTTTTTTCCCCCTGCCAAAATCACTTTTAATCTTTTAGTCAGTGACCTTGACTGTTGTACTCCAAAACTGAAAGGCTCCATTACTACCCCCAGTTATAAGCCATCATTAAAGTTGAATTCAGGCATGCATACTGAAAATTATAACTGAATTTTACATCATATCCAGCAACAAACATTTAACCATTAAGTTGTCCCTTCGGACATGTACAACAGGTTGCTGGAATTATAGTCACACAATTTTGTAGCAAAGTGTGCTCCTGACTGCTAACAGTACAGGCCACACTAATCCACACACACCTTGTTCTCACATATATAATATATCATTTTCTTTAATGGGCATTTGTTGTAAAGCATGATACAGTTGTTTGTGTTGACCAACCTTAGCTAAAGGAATATGGCAAAGTTGAAGACCAAAACCAATCACAACTGTTGATGCATACTATATCGGCTTGTATGGCATAGTTAAACTAA